GTTTTGCCGAAGTTAAAGAGAGAGCGCATTCTTCTTAGTAATTAACCCTGTAATGTTTGTAACAGTTCAAATCTCTAAGAAAGTTGGCATACCAGTTAACAATGCATTTCATGCATTGTTAACTGATACGCCAACTTTCTTGAAGGCAGAAAACAGAGGGTGATTTTCAATAATTTGACTTGCCGGTGGAGAATTTTCAACAAGGGAACAACACAGGGAAGTGTCAGTGGCCCATATCTTTTCAACATATTATTGAATGACCTAGAGATAGATGGGTACAAAGATAGATCCTTGTTTAAGTATGCAGACGATTCAACCGTCTTAGTTACGATCACCAAAGATTCCCCGAATATAATTTATCTGACATTGCCTTGTCCAAGTTTATGGATTGGACTGTTGCAAACGGCATGCATTGTAACACTAGTAAGTGTAAGGAGCTAGTTATGCGTAAGAAAGGCAATTCAACCGTCAACCCAATGTGTCACAATATCAAACAATATAATAACATTTTTTTATTGCGCGTCACATTTCAAGGTAATTGTAAGTTCAGCATGCAAGTCAAGGCCAAGCTCCATGAAGCCAACAAGTGTTTAATTGTCATCAGAAGCCTACGTCAAGAAGGATATACACAAGACGAAATAGACCACCTCTTTAATTTAATTGTGATCCCTAAGTTATTATACGGTCTTTCAGTTTATGCTGCAAGTGTTTCCGAACTTACTGTTATACAAAGGTTTTTAAAGAGTTGCTCTAAGAGGAGCTATACGTCGGTCAATGACAACATATATGAACTTTTGAGGAAAGCGACGACGCCTTTTTTATAACCTCAAACATAATGACCATCCATTAAAAAGCCTACTCCAAGGTACAAAGACTAAATTGTAAACATTCGAAGGAAATCCATTGTCAGGCCCAGCACTAACACTGAACGCGTTTTAAACATAGCTTTTTTAATAGATTAATTTTTAAATATAGTCTAGCTGTGTAAACACCCCATATGTATTTCTAATCATTTTTAATCATCTTTATTCGATTTAATCATTGTAATTTTTCCCATCAATATATATATTTTTACTGTAACATCAGATATGTAATTTTATCGGATGGTTTTTCAATAAAGACGAATTTATTTAAAGACGAATTAATTTACTTGTTACAGAAACAACGATAAACACAGCAATTCCCAAGGCTAAGGTTTCCAAGAGGGAAGTTGGCAACTGATGTGTTTCTCTTATTAGAGACATCGATCACTTTAAAAGCTGATTTCCCTTTCTTTTGCGGCTTCCGAAATAATATACATATTATCAGCTGAACTAACGAACGAACTTACCTGTAGTATCTCTGATGTAATCATGTACGACCGAAAGGAATTAGGGGGGAATTAAA